GAGAATATCCACGATAGCTTGGGCTTTTCAAGAAATTCGTGGTGTTATTTTTGAGGAATCATTTGACCCATTTTATATTTGTGCATTAGTAAACTTAGGCAACAATGAGCTATGTTATAACTGGATTTTTAGGAACGTTCGTTACGTTAAAACTGTCACCCATGACAAAGGGTGGTATTTCTTCGCTTGAGCCTATGATGCACCTACGCATTTCATTGTTATCTTAGTCTTCATGGAATTTTGACAAAGAGGAATTGTTCTTCAAGAGACATCATTTATTTTCTGATACAGGCAAGAAAGTGCTCATTGTTTATGCTCACCAAGAACCCAGGTCTATCAACGGCTCCTTGAAGAAAGTGGCAGTGGAAGAGCTCAGCAGACAGGGCTGCACCATCACCGTGTCTGATCTGTACGCCATGGACTTCGAGCCGCGGGCCACCAGGAAAGATGTCGTCGGTGAGTTGTGGGCTAAACGGTTGGGTTTTTTTTTTTTTACTTATTTTTTAAAGATTTTATTTATTTACTTGAGGGAGAGACAGAGCATGAGCGGGGCGAAGGGCAGAGGGTGAAGCAGACTCCCCACTGAGCAGGGAGCCCAATGACAAGGGGCTCGATCCCAGGACCCCGGGATCAGGACCTGAGCCGAAGCCAGACACTTAACCAACTGAGCCACCCAAGTGCTCCTGGTTTTTTAACGTTCTTCTTTCTAGTTTTTTAATGGAAAAAAAGTTTTGAAAAAACTCACCATTGCCCATGAGACCCAGTTCTCAAGTCGAAGGAGTCCACATGACAAGTCTTTTTCCCATCCCTGTCCCCCAGCCACCCGTGTCCCTGCCCACAAGGTCACCAGGGTGCTCACTTGTCTCTGTGTCCCTCCAGAGACATCCATGCTATGGAAAGCAATTACGGGCATATTCTCCGTTTTCTCTCCTTTGCTTCAAAATGGTAGCATATTTTACACGTTTTGCACATTGCATTTGTTTTTTACTGCCCAAAGTATTCATTGTGTGGAGGTGTCATAGTTCAAGTAGCCCCTACTGAAGGGCATTTCAGATCATTCCTGATCTTTTCCTATTACAGAGCTGCAAGGAAGAATCATGGCCACACGTGTTTTCCTACATATGCGGGTGTGTCTAGAGGTGGAATTGCTGGTCAGAGGGAAGGTGCACTTTTGATTTTCATAGATAATATCAAATAGTAAATGGACCAGTTTACACTCGCACTAGCATGTTTGCAAGTGCTCATTTCCTCTGCATGGCCAATTTTTGATAATTGCCAGTCTGTCAGGTGAGAAATGGTCTCCCAGTATAGTTCTGATTTGCCTTTCTCTCACTGTAAGTGAGCTTCACTGTCTTTGTGTTTATGTAAGAAGCATTTTCTCTTTTTTCCAGCTGCATTAAGACATAATTGACAAAAGTTATATATATTTAAGATATATAACATGATGGGGGTTTTTAGTTTTTTCCCCTAGTATTTTTTTTTATTATTAGTTTCAGAGGTAGAGTTGAGTGATTCATCAGTTGTATATAACACCCAGTGCTCATCACATCCCATGCCCTCCTTGATGCCCATCACCCAGTTACCCCGTCCCCTCACCCAATCCCCTCTGGCAACCCTCAGTTTGTTTCCTAAGATTAAGAGTCTCTTATGGTTTGCCTCTCTCTGTTTTTATCTTATTCCATTTTTCCGTGCCTTCCTCTATATTCATCTGTTTTGTTTCTTAAATTCCACATATGAGTGAAATCATATGATAATTGTCTTCTCTGATTGACTTATTTCGCTTAGCATAATCCCCTCCCGTTCCATGCCACCTTCACTGTGATTTAAATTCCCATGTACATTTGATTCTGTTCTATACCTTGTATTCTGTTGGGTTTTTTTTTTTTTCTTTTCTATCTGTTACGGATTCAGTACCTCATGGCTTTAATTATTTTGGTAAGTGATAGAATATCTCCGTGTTTGCTTTATTTTCTATTTTTTGTAGCTAATTTTACTTTACTTTTCTATAAAATCTTTTGAATTAACTTTCCAGATTCAAAAAGTAACCAGATGATATTTTTATTGAGATTCCATTAAATTTACAGATGAGCTTTTATTATGCTGATGCTAGCCAGAAGAATGGTATGGCTTTTCATTTGCTCACGTCTTCCTTTACAACCCTGCAACTCTCTTTACAAGGTTTCTTCATACAGATCTTGAATAATTCTTGTGAATTGGTTTTTGTTTCTCTACGTGAAGAGGGTTAATCTCTGTTTGTGTGCCTGCGAGTGTGTGTGTGTATCCAGCCATGCCTGATTTTCTTACTGTTTGTAGTAGATTTCAGCTGATTCTCTGGGGCTTTCCTGATAGACAATCAAATCATCTGCAAATAATGATAATTTCACTTCGGCCTTTCCAGTATTTAATACCTTTAATTTCCTTCTGTTTGTAATTGTGTTTTTTTATATATATATATGCCAAGGCTTTATTTTGTTAATGATAATCCCAAGGTTTAATATTTAATATTGCTGGTAACAGCTGACATCCTGTATCTTCTTGTCTTTCTTCCATTTTAATAAATCAGTCAACAATTTTCACTTAAGAAACAACAGAGCAGGGACTGGGAAAACAGACTCTTATGTTAAGGAGCCACTGGTTTTTAAGTGGATGAGTCTGTCGAAGGACTGTGGATTCAGCTCTCCTTTCGGTTCCTCTCCACGTGGCTGGGGGTTTGTCAGCTCCTCTCCAGACCCCGTCTGGTGGGGTGGGGTTCACACCTGCTCCCACCTCTGCTGCTACCAACACCTCTGTGGTGTTGGCACTTGTCGCTCAGCCTCTCTAAAGTCTTGGTTTCCTCTTTGGTAGACTTGGACTTAAACTTACCAGTTGCTATAAAGATAGAAGAGGTAATGTGTGATAGAACACAGCACCTGATAGGTAGGAGGTCCTCAATAAATGGTAAGCTATTATTAATACTGATTAATGCCTTTGATGAATCCTTTTGGTTGATAAGATCCCAATGGACGGTGTAGATCAAAATAACTTCTCTTTCGTTTTAGTTGCCGTGGGCAGTGCTGTAAGTTCTAGCCCAATCCCCCGCCTGCCACCAGCCACTGCTGCTGCCTGACTGAGCCCGTCCCCCCACACGCTTGCTCTCGAATCCCTGCTGCTACAGTGAGCTTGTCCACACCCACTTCAGAGCATTTATGTATTTCCCTGCATATGCCACATGGCTCACTATGCACAGGAATAATTCAAGCTCCTTAAGAAGGCTTACAAGACCTGGCCCATCTCTCTACTCACATCACCTGCAGCCCTCCTGGCCTCCAGGGCACCCATTGCCCTGGAGGTGCTCCTAGTAGCCCTTTCCTGGCTGGCCCATCGTCGGACACCCAGCCTTCTCTGTGTCTTACGCCCAGAATGTCCTGTCTCTTCTCTCCAAGGCTCCAGGTGGCCTGGTGAACTCCTGATCCATCTTCAAAGCCTGGTTTACAAAGCTCATCACTAACCCAAACAAGCAGAGCCAGGCACTGCTGTACTGAGTTAGACCACAAGCATCTTGATTGTAAGACAGGAGGCTTATCTGGCCGTAACATCAGACTGAGCTACCTAACTATTGTTTTGTATGTTAATCATTTCATAATTTATCTACTCTTACTGGACTTTGAGTCCCTCCGAAGGTGAGAACAGTAGCTTCCTCTCCTTTTATTACCATGGTCTGACCCCAGGGCCCAATACCTGGTCGGGTCTCAGTGAATGGCGACTTGCTTTAGGGAGTCCAGGTAACGGGGATGCTAGTGGGATGGATTGGCCAGAATGGGCTGTGGGTGCGCATGTGAGAGCGTGAACATTTGGCCTGTTCTTCTCCAGGTGCTCTCTCTAATCCCGAGTTCTTCAACTATGGGGTGGAAGTATATGAAGCCTTTAAGAAGAGGTCTCTGGCCAGTGACATAACTGATGAACAGAAAAAGGTTCAGGAAGCTGATCTAGTGATATTTCAGGTTTGTTTTGCCTCTAATTATTATAACAAATTAGATTTATTCCATGTACAAGCTCTTTCCAAATACTGAGTCTCACACTTCTAGAAATGGTGTTAATGTTAGCACATTTGCACACTTATTTGTGTCTAGTTGGGTAAGGAGATCTGTGTAGCCAATATTCATTCAAAATTCTGACCCCCAAGCTAATAATAAGGAATTCTCCATTAGCCCAGCAGTCCAAGAAACATCTGCATCCTGCCCAGGGGATTGCCTTCATTTCTTTCTGATCCCCACCCCACATAGGCAGAGGCTGCGTGAAAACCAGATTTGTCCACATGAGCGTTTATCAGGGGTATTTGGGCTAAATGTAACTCCTGCCCTAAATATCCTAATCAGAGAGGAAAGTCTTCTTTTGATTCCTTCCTGTCACTGGTTGAGTCCCCAGCCCACCTTCTGTGCACTCATTCACAAGTTGCCCCAGGCCAGGACTCCCTGTGGAGAGAACTGGTCCAGGACCCTTGCTTCTGTGGGCTCTAGCCCTAGCTAGACAGGCATGTGTACCCACAGAGGAAATCGTGAGCCTGGCAGCAAAATAAACATGTGCTTTTGGGGAGCTGTTGGGTTGACAGAAATCCAAGTCAACTAGAAAAAAGGAATTTATTCTCAGGGCCCTGGTCCCTTGGGTCTCCTGGAAGCCAAGGACAGGCTAGTTGGGCTTCAGGGACCGTGGAACCAGAGGCTTGGACCCCTCTGCCCTCTCCCTCTGATTCTCCTCTGCTGCTCCCTGCATGCCGGCTCTGTCCTATTGCTGCACACCAGGGCCTGGGGGCTCTAGATCCGGAACCTCCAAGATGGATCTGATTGGTCCCGATTGTCTCTGTTTCCAACGCGGGGTGAAGACAGGGAAAGGGTGAGAGAACAAGACCCCCACGTGTGGGGGAGGGGTGAGGATGCGACCAGTTTCCAGGTGAAACAACGTGTCCAGAAGGGAAAGTTCACGAACCCTTCATAAAATAACCCTACCCCTTTGGGCAGAGGGAATGCTTCAGCCCTCCTCTTCTGCCCCACCCAGGCTACCTCTAGACACCCCTTCCCGTTCCTTTCTTTCCCAGGCAACCTGGAGCTGCTGTCTGATCAGAGTGCGAGATGTTCTTCCATCCCAATTCCACGTGGCTGGATCATGGTGCCACAGAGCTCACTTGCCATGTGCTTTGGCATCCACAGAATAATAGCCACACCAGGACAGTGGGGCTGTATCAAAACTGGCCAGCAGTCGGGGTCCATGGTCCAAGCAGAGCCATACTTGGCTCTCTCGATCTTCTCTTCCTGCCCCTTGGGGCCGGTGACCACATGGAGCCCGGCTGTCCATTCTCCTTGCTCCTGCACTCTTGCAGCTGGAGAGCTAAAGCAAGCCAAGGCGTGGTCCTTCTGTAATGGTCTTTCTTTTTCCCTACTCCATCTCACAGCTCTTTTCCCACTGCCTTCCCTCTTTTCCTGGTACTTTGCTCAGAGGGTCTGCATTATAAGTTTATTGTTTTTCATTCAACACTAGTAAGAACTTCATTCCTCACTACTACTTAGTAGTGATCACTACTCCCCATCACTCACTGAGCATTTAACTCTGTTCTAAGCACTGTATTGTCATGGAACCCTCCCCACGATGCTGTGACCTAGTAACTTGTACTAGCCCTAATGGCAGATCAGGAAGAGGGGGCACAGAGAGGTTAAGTAACTTGCCAGCATCACACAGCAGTGGGTTGTGGAGCTTAAATTTCAATGCCAAGTCCTGTGTTAGATTTATAGCAAAAGCACATGAAACATGGGCTTCCTTCTGCCTTTGGTAACATTATTATCGGTGTTCATCTCCTATCATTGATGATGGTTCTGGATATAGTGTTAGGGCTTCTGTGGAGACCAGAGTAGACTTTAGGTAGATCTTATTGCTGGTGTGTGGAATCTGAGGATAAGGCTTTAGTTTGTGTCAGAATCTGGAGCTTCTCAGAACTTAACTCAGTCTGACTTCCAGAAGGCAGCAACTCACCCCCGGGAAAGGGGCAAAATCTTTTCCACACCCTTCCTCTTGTGCCCCTTGATTGGATCAGTCACAGGGACTGCTGCCGCTGAGCCAGTGTCCAGCAGAACTTCCTAGCACCCCCCCACACACACACACCTGCTCAAGGACCAGCCTAAGGGGCCGTCCCTGGGGGACACAGAGCCACCTGTAACGGCAACCAGGACCATGGTCAGCTCTGCCCCCTCACCCCACCATCACCCTGTCCACACTGCATGTCCCTGCTCGTGCTGCTCCCCGGCTATACTCGCCTGCCCAGCACCTGGGAAGAGGAAGACAGTGGGATTCCTTCTGGATCAGCGGATCTGCAACCTGAGGCGGCCCGCAGCATCTTTCTCTCCCTGGTCTTATGTCCCCAGTTCCCGCTGTACTGGTTCGGCATGCCGGCTATCCTGAAGGGTTGGATGGACAGGGTACTGTGTCAGGGCTTTGCCTTTGACATCCCAGGATTCTACGATTCCGGTTTTCTCAAGGTACGTACCCTGGGATAAGGATCCCTGTGTACTGGTGGAGGGCAGCTCCTCAAGTCCTATTTGTAGTTTGCTTTTTTATCAGCAAATAATGATTGAGCCACCAACTGTGTGCAAAGCCCCGTGTGCTGTACTTGGTAAGAAAAGCATTGTTTCTGAGGTCACGGGGCTTTTGTCTGGTGAGGGAGATAGATGCATCCACCATAAACTACACGAGTGGCCAAGAAGGGCATGGAGTTGGTGTTGCGGGAGGGCTGCAGTGGGCCCCACGGTGTCCGCTCTGGCTCGGGAGAGGGCGTCTGCACTGTGACGCAGAGTTGAGCCGTGGTCTCACACCACTTCACCTCGCAGCTTCATGTTCCTCCTTGAAAAACAGGATAATATGACTTGCGTGTTGCAGGGTGAGCGTTGCACGGAACCCGGTGGGTGCGCTGTGCACAGTAGCTCCGAGTTGCTTACTAAGTTCATTCCTTACTGAAATAAATAATGTCTTAATTCTGAAAGCCTCAGAAAGTAAGTGCACGTAAGGAAACCGTAGAGTCACACGGGCCGTCGTGGATGGTGGAGTAAGGCCACTGTTCCGTGAGAATGGTCCTGGACCAGGGGCTGTGCACTGCCTCGGTCGCCCTCACAGCAGCCCCGGCCGTCGGCACCCGGCGCCACACCCTGCTCTCTTCCAGAAGTTGGGGCGCACCAGAGCCCCGTGTTCACTCAGGTCCGTCCCTCCCCTGGCCCCGCCAGCTGTGGCTGCCCCCTGGAGCCGGGCGTGCCGAAGGAGAGTGTTCTCACGTGTCCATCTCTGGAGGGACTGACCTCAGACTCTCCCTCCTGGTTGGTCTAAAGCTTGGGGCCAGAGTCACATGGATTTGTTTGCTCCTCCGCAGAATAAATTGGCCCTCCTCTCGTTAACCACGGGGAGCACAGCCGAGATGTACACGAGAACCGGAGTCAGCGGAGATTTCCGGTACTTCCTGTGGCCCCTCCAGGTACCCCCGGCACCCCCCACCCCCTCCGCTACCCCTGCAGCTCCCCCGGGTGTCAAATAAGATGTGATGTAAGCCTGAAACCCAGACTATTTTGACTCCACCTGAATACAAGAAGTTAGAACGTTTTGCCCTTTCAGATGCCTTATTTAGCACTGAAAAAGTGGGCCAATAGGGAAAACACATATTTATTATAATGATAGCCTTTGAATTTGTTGCGTGGAAGCTAAGCTGAACCTGGTTAGCGGACGTCTGCTCCGTGGTGGCCCTGCGTGTGTGCCGAGCACCAGGGACCCCGTCCACACTGACTGGCAGCGCTTGGTGAAGGTGGCATCCCGAACCCTGGCAAGAGGTGCCCCAGGGCCAGGAGTCCAGATAGTCTCACACCTCCCACAGGTGATGGGTTCTGGGAGCCAGAGGCTGTGCCCCGTCCCCAGAGCCCACACCCCTCCCCAGGTTCCCAGGACTCTGGGTCTGCTCTCTCAGGTAGACACCATATTGCCTCTGTGTACCCCTGGGCCATCTGTGAAGGGGACAGCAGGGGGGCAAAGCATATGCAAGCAGGCTGGGGTGCCCCCATGTGAGGCACCCCTTGCTGAGGGACCGAGCTGGGGGTCGGGGCAAAGGGAGCAGGCTCTGGGTCAGGCGGCCACATACTCGCTCCGAGCTTCCAGGAGACTCAGAAACCTAGACGCAAACCATTCTTCCAGGCTGTTATGAAGGAACATTTGTCCAGGGAGGAGATCACATATGCAACAGTTTGTGAGCTTGCTTTAAAGATGTAGACAGTGACCCCTCGTAGGGCAAGCCTGGACAGAGGTATGGGTTTTAAGGGAAGGAGTGCAGAGAGGGGAGGGTGATACTTGTAGTAAGGTTGTCTTTGAAAGGATAGTGATTCAATTTAGTGATGTTCTGCGGGAGAAAGAGTGGTAACTTACAGGCCCGAACTTCCCTTGCCCCAGGTCAACTAGTCTCTTAGGAGTCATGAGCCAAGCTTAAGTTCTGGTTTTTTAAAAATCTTTATATATTCTTTTCAGTTTTCAAAAGTATATATTACGAAAAAAGAATGTATAAAATATAAAAATAGAAAGTCTTCTTAATCCCCCCTTAAAAATAATTGCTTTTAATAATTTGATGTATTTCCTTATGGCCCAGACGTATTTTTATATGTGTATTTTTTATTATTAGGGTTATTATGTTTGTTTTTACGTAAATGGTATACCACGAATACTGCTTCAGATTTCTTGTTATTTTTACTTGACATATCTTGAACAACCATACGTGGATATACATATACTATAGCTGGAATAATGTCACATTGTTCTAGAATAATCCATTGTATGAATCTACCATAATTTGCCTAATCAATCAAAACTAAGGTTTACTGTCTGAATCAGAAGTGAAGATTACAGATGAATTTCAGTTAGGATCTGAAGTTTCCAGTTACCTGAAGTTCTTCACCTCATTTGTCAAGGCCCGCATCTTAAGGTTATAGGGCATTTCAGTTGTCTTCGGTGACCTAGTAGCAGTGAAGTTCTTTTATTTTTTGAAGGCTTATTTCAGGCCATTTCCCCCCTTTAGTTGTTTACCTGAATGACAGAAAGGATGCGGCTTCTAATCAGCTCTCTGCTTTCTCTGTGGCTACAGCATGGGGCACTGCACTTTTGTGGATTTAAAATCCTCGCCCCTCAGATCAGTTTTGCTCCTGAGATTGCCTCAGAAGAAGAGAGGAAGGCTATGGTGGCATCCTGGGCCCAGCGGCTGAAAACCATCTGGGAGGAAGAGCCCATCGACTGCACACCTCCTTGGTACTTCGGGCAATAACACTTCGCGCCTTATCCACGGCACAGGCACTGCCTGCACATGCAAAGAGATGATCCCATAATAAAAGGAAATTACAACAGAGTGAGCTGGAGATAGTTAATGTCGGGTAGGACCGGGGTGTCCTACAGCCGATCCAGCATTTCAGCTGTCCGCTGGTTACCCGGAATTCTGTTCCAACGAGGCCATTATTCACCCGGGCTTGCTTTTCTCTTCTGATGTCTTTCCATCTCCCTGTGTTCAACCTTTGTGGGTATCTTGTTCTCAAACAGTTCTCCTGGCGTGGCATAGTTTTTTCCTTTTGTTTTATTTCATAACTCAACTTGGGAATTTCTGTTTTTTCATAGGAAGGTTGAATATTTGATAGCCAGTGTTGTAGTGCTGTGTTTGGACTTCTTTCTTCCATCTCTCTCTCTTTTTTTTTTTTTTTTTTGTACGTGCATGCATGATGGCTTTGAAGTTAACCCATTTGTAAAGTCACTGCATGGGGGTTACCATGAAAGTCTCCCAGCGTCACTCTGATGCGTTCACAGGACACTACCAGTAATTACCCTGAGTGGAGGCACCGTAGCAGGAGGGGTCTCCCTAAAATCAGGTTTAAGAGATTAAATCTCCTCCTCCTCCTCAATCATCACTTCCGAGGATGGAGCCACTGCCTGCGCACAGGGACCATCCTTCCTTAATGTCCCCAGTGCCACCCACAGTCCCCTTGTTGGACTGGCCGCACAGCTTGTACCTGGACTCTGCTCATCACACTCCTTCGAGCTGGCACCCTCATCCTTGAGCAGCCTGTCCCCTGCTCCACCACCGCCTCCCTCTTCCTCAGCATCTCCAAACCCTTTTCCATGTGCCTTTTCTTCCTCCTGTTTTCCACCTGGTGCATAATCACACACTTCCCTGTGTGCATCTCCTTCCTCCTCATCTGAATCCCCACGGCCTTCCCCACCAGACACTCCCTCAGAGCCACCATCCGCAGATGCTCAGCTTTCAGGACCGTTCCTTCCTCTTTTTTTTCAACACCGTTTTCCTCTAGTTATTTTTTTGGAGGCCTCTTCAAAATCCTTTTCAGAGCAATCTTCCGATTCTCTTTCCAAGACGTCTTCCTTTTCAGATTTTCAGGGTCACCTTCAGACTTTTTTCAAATTCTTCAGTCTTTTTTGAGGTATTCTTTCGAGACCATTCTCATCACTTTTGGAACTGCCTTCTTCAGATTCTTTTGGGACCGTGTTCTTTAGCATCTTTTTCAGAAGCATCTTCAAAATCTCCCCATCTTCTCATTTTTCGAATATCTTTCCATGTCTGGATTCTTTACATGCCATGTTAGTTGTGGCTTCTTGAGCATTCGTCCTAGATGTGCTCGGGTGCTCTGGAAATGCCTTACTTTAGAAAGCCTTGCCTTTTGGAGCAAAGATGGAAGTTGAACACAGAATGCCTCCTTGGCCTCAGGACACTGAAGAAAGACTTCCCTTCTCTCAGCCGTTCCTCCCTCCCTCTTGGGGTCTTCTCAGCCTGGCCATCTGTAGTCCCACCCCATGTTTCAACAGGGATTTGATGGCCACCAACACACCTTCCATCAAAGGTTTGAGTGCACAGATAGTTTCCTCAAGACATCTGGGTGTCTCTCCAAGAGAAGGAGCTTCCTGACTGGCCCAAGCTTTGAACAGTCTCCAAGGTCTTCTCCTACCTTGATCAGCACCAGCTCAAAATCCATGGGATGAAACATTTTGGTAATGAGCACTCCCCCTTGGGGCATTCCACAAGCATTCCAACAGTCCAACTGCTTTTATTACAGAGCCAGCCCCTACCTGTAGTGCTCGCACCTCTTCCTTGCTGATGCCCCCTCTTCGAAGACCCTTCCGTTGAAACTGAGCTACCTCACTATGCGATTTCTAGCTTCTAATTTCATCTTCATCCAAAAGCATTATTGCACAATCCAGAGTCCCTCTTCAAATAACTGCAAAGCCCATCTGCTTTAAGATTCCCTTGGTTTATCTTTGTAAAACTTGACCATAAATTCTGTCCGGGGATCTCATAATCATGCAAAATTAGAAGCTGTATAAAGGCCTCCACTATGATGTCAGTAGGCAAACCAGTTGCATTTACATTTGTAGTTCTGTCTTCAACGTGAAGCCTTCCTTTTTTCTCCTCTTTTCAAGATCAATGGGTTTGAGGCTATTTTCCGCAGAGTTTCTTAGCATTGCCGGCACCTCTCGTATGTTGGCCACGGACCAGATGTGCTGGTGCTGAGAAGCTGTACGTGGCCCGATGCGCGGTGATCTCACACCAGCCGCCTTGCCCAGGTGCCAGCCAGCCGCTGCCCGGAAGATTGGCTTTCTCCACTGGGATTCTTGCTGTCTCTGTACAGTTCATTCACAGTTGCTCATTTGCAGATTCCTCAGCCAAGTACACTTGACCTGTGAACGACATGCGCTTGAACTGCAGTCCATTTACACGTAGATTTTTTTTTTTCCATAAGTACATTGGAAAAATTGGGGGGGGGAGTTCCAACAATTTGCAAAAACTCCCAGGTGAACCCTGTAGCCTAGAAACGCTGAAAATTTTAAGAAAAATATATTATTGTAAGAATACAGTAAATGCATATAGAAAATATGTGTTAATGGACTTTATATGTTATCAGTAAGGCTTCCGGTCAACAGTAGGCCGTTAGTAGTTAAACTTTGTGGGGTCAGGAGTTACACATAGACTTTCTGGGTGTGTGGCTGGTACCCCCAGCCTTGCATTATTCAGCTATACTTGCTGCCTGAGTTTCCCGCCTAGCCCGGAGCAGGCTCCAGGCGAGCAAGAAGGGGCTGGCTCGCTCTGCCCCGCCTCAGCGCTGCCGGTCAAGGTTCAAGGTCTGGTATGTTTTTTGTTATTTTTGCTGTGCCCGGCTTTCTTTTTTGGCACTATTTCCCCATCAGACTCTGCCTCTGGAATCTCTCAAAGTTGCTGGTCCTTGGATAATTCTACTTGACTGTCTTCTGGCACTTCTGATTCAGTATGTCGTCACTGAGTTTGTCCCCCTACCCACACCCCCCTTACCACCCCTTATCTCAATAAGTGGCAGGAACATTCCTCCGATGTCGGGCCCCAAACCTGGGCCTCACCTGGACTACCCACAATCAAGCTTCATGTCTTGCTGACTCCACCTTCTACCTACGATTCATTTGCCCATTATTTCCATCCACAGTTCTAACATGCTCATCCAGGATACCACCTTTTCTGGCCTGGATTATTGCAACAACCACCTGGATAATTTTCCCTTACGCATGTCTGTCCCTTACAACCCATTTTCTACAGAATGCTCAGAATTTCTCAGAATGCACACACACGCACACACACACAGAGCTTATGCCATTCTTGAGGTCTATTCATCCTTCAGGGGCTTCTCATGGCTCTTAGGAAATGTCCAGAGTCCTTGAGCTGGTCTGTAAGGTACAGCATGTGACTCTGTCTCCTAATTACAGGCTTTCTGGCTACTCTGTCTACATCCCAGCCATACTGGACTTCTCACTCCTCGTCTTGTTGCAGGGGCTGCTCCCTCTGGCGGCAGTGCTCTCCCCATCTCATCGCCCAAGCCACCTCCCATGTCACTTAAGGAAGCCCTCCACAACCCCTCGGATGGAGTTGGATGTCCTGTCCTATGCCCTGTACTTCTGCCTTAAAAAAAAATTCTCAGTGTGCGGCACCTAGATGGTTCAGTCGGTGAAACGTCCAACTCTTGATTTCGGCTCGGGTCATGATCTCAGGGTGGTGGGATCGTGCCCCACATTGGGCTCCATGCTGAGCGTGGAGCCTGCTTAAGATGATCTCCCTCTCCCTTTCCCTCTGCCCGCCCCCCTCATGTGCATGCACGTGCTTGCTCGCTCTCTCAAAAAAATCTCTGTGGTATTGTGTTTACTTGAGAAACACAGGAGGACATTTTCATACACATTTCAAACACTGGAGCCATCTGATTAATGTTTGTCTCTGTCACTAGACTGCTGGCTCCATGAAAGCAGTCTTAGACAAGGCTCTGTCAGTGTGGGGAGCCCCTACCCCAGCAGAAATGAGGTCTGCACCCTGCCCAGGGCCCCAGGTTGGATTGCAGGCTGCAGTCTGGCTCTCAGCAAGACCAGCTTCCCCGTGGTGAGTGTGCATCCCTGTGCACACCAGGTAGAAAGAATGCATGGATACCTGACTGGACCACATCGCTCACTCCCCGGTTTCTCTTCTCTTGTGCTTGCTGAAACTGGCCCCTGGCTCTTGATGGGGGTTGTAGTCTGGGGACGACTGGCAGCCCCAGGAGAAATGCCCTGGAGAGCTGTCGTCTTTGTTTTCACTGATGCCTCTGGGATGCATTCAGGCATCATGAACTTGGCTCCTCCTCCCTCATGCCCAGTGGGCTGCTGCTGCCACAAGCGTGCCGGGTGGACAGGGAGCAGTGCCAGCCTTTAGAGCCTCATCCTGCAGTCTGCGTGGGGTTGCTGGACTTCAGGATCCCTCAAAGCAGGAAGCAGATGCCACACTGCAGGGTCTCTGAAGTCACCAACTCTAAACGTCAGAGGGTGGATTCTCCAGCCAGGGGATGCTGCCTCTTCCCACAAGGGGGTTAGAGGACCGGAAGTTCAAGGGGAAGACTCCTCGCTGTCTTCCCAGGTTCTCGAAGCCCGACTTCCCTGGGAAAACTTGGCCTCCAGATGCCAAGGATGTTAATTCTGCCTTCCAACCAAAATTGTTAGCACTTCAAGGGCCAGGACCTTATTATATAGCTCATTAGCTCCCATAGCACTGGGTTCCCTTGGACATTGCTGAGTTTTAAAACCTCATTGCTGAAAGACTTAAAATAAAAACACACTCAGCATCAGCAGGGCAGCGGGAATTGCTAATGAAAGAAAAAACAGGAAATGACCGCAGTCACATCTAAGGTAAGACAACATTTTTCTTAGGAGCGTGGGACCTGATTTGGATTCGGGAAGTTAGTTCTCTTCGGTCATGCAGAGCTAGGTCCCACACCCAGTTTG